AAGTTGTGTTCAGAAAGAATAAACCAGTTTTATTTAAGAAAGGACTTGTATCGGTAAAGTTTCTTCGGTAAGAATTTTTACGGAAAATTAACTAACGAACGGAGGCGTAACATTATTCTTTAGTTAGTTAGTGTTTACTGTCAGAAAACGAAGACTATGTATAGCTAACCACTGTACCAATCTAAGTACTTTCGCCAAATTTGATTTGTTAATATCCATTAGTGTATGTTACTGGCCCAGGGTAAGCTCACTGTGCTTGCAGTGTAATTGAAGAATGTAGAACTTATTATTTGAATACGAAAGCCCTTCCATATCCATTTAGACTTTCTATTAAGATAAATAACTTGTATTCAGTCTTTAGAAAAGCATGCTATAAAAGAAGGTAAAGGTTGAAAGACATATGCTCTGTAGAGTTTCATTGCATAAACAATCAACCCAGGCTGTAATAAACGTATACAGACAGCAATTACACGTTCTCTGTAATGCTATTACTAAAAATTTATGAAATAGGGCACATAATGTCGTCGTATGTAGAGTTCACGAATGCAGCCTGCTACTTTGATACTTGCTGCAAAAAGTTAACTTCCGAACTCTGTCGGTGCACGTGAGGCGATGTGTGTTATTATGTGGGGTTTCATTAAAATATAAAAACTCCATTTCCTCAATGTTAAACGAACCATATTAGGGGACAAAGCCTGTCATGTCTTGTGACTGCAAGGGAATTAGTATATTTCAAGTGCTCCTTACAATATGTATTGTCAGTTCGGGTTACATTCCACATAAACTTCCCGCATTGTTACATCCAAGATATACAAGTCGACAGACTCCATACTTGCCCTTAAAAGGAAGTTAAGAACTGCGAAGGGCATTAATATTCCTTCTAGAAAATTATTTCTCTGTTAAATACATAATATGAATTGTAAAACTATCGTCTACTATAAGCAGGGCTGCATGTAAAAAAAGTAGTTTAAAGCAACTTATTAAAAGCCTATGCGTTGACGTTTTTTAAAGATAAGGGGAACATGAAAAAACGATGAGTTAGTAACATTGCTTATAGAACCTTGATATTAATCATACGTTTTGGTGGGAAGATAAACTTACAGAAATTTAAATCACACAGTATGTACCAGAAAATCATACTTACTTTTTAGATATTATTTCTTAAATGAAGGGGAAGTTTTAAAGACGAGATACACCACAAAAATCGTTTATTATTTTACACGTCCCTCTTGGACAAATGAACATGTGAGTTCTACCACTAGTTGGCTGTCGACTTGTGTAAAAAAGCTCATCAAGCACATCATAAGTAAAACTAATATATTCCTATTACTAATGAGATTTATGTGAAAGAGAGCCGATCTAAGGATAAAGAGCAAATGAGAATTTATAACATTAAAAATAGGGATTCAATACTCGTAGTAGGCACAGCACATATAACACTTTGTGAAGCTTTGTTCTTAACACCAAACAACAACAGTTGTGAATTGGATTATTTAATAATTGCAAGTCATTAATTTTAAAATAAATGTCAACTCATAATTTCTTGAGGCTTACATAAAACCAATAGATCTCTGCGACAACATTTCTCATATTGTAAGCTTTAAAATATAAATTTCATATATAATTATCTATGGTAAACCAAAGCTGTTTTTTTTAATCTAAAACCTTTAAAAATATTAAAAGCTCACAGGTATTTGGAGGAGGTTTTTAGGGTAAATAAACTCTGTTAGGAACTACCAACTAGACATGCATGTGGCTTATACAATTTATTATAAAATAAATATATATTTTAACGTAGTTGTTCAAATAAACATTCACATTTGTTTCTATTATGGATTAGAAGTCCCATTGAAAATCATTTAAAAATAGCGCTTGCAATAAAGCACTTGATTCGTAAGTTGACTACGTAGTGACACAATTACTTTTATTGACTACGTAGTGACACAATTACTTTTATTGACTACGTAGTGACACAATTATTTTTATTGATTACGTAGTGACACAATTATTTTTATTCGTTTCAATTAAACAAAAAATGACAAGAATGATGATATGACTTCGAGTGATAATTTGACTTGTTTCAGAAACAGTGACTGAGAAAATCTACCCATACAGTATGAATGGTACCCCACCACAGCGATATGTAGATGTGGAAAAAACTCGCCCACTATTACAACCTCCTCCGCCCCCTCCACCGTTTCCACTCCCTCCACCTCCATCTGATGACTATTCTGCTCCATATGCCACGCTACCAGTAAATGATGCGAATAATTCCACCGATAGAAGGAGAAATTTTGGAATAGGATCCAAATCTAACGAGGTAAGTCACTATTTGATTTGTATTTATTTTTATTTGTAGAGTGGATTTCTTATTCGTTTAAGTAAAATATAGCAGGTAAGTTAGGTAGAAAAAAATTATAAACATTGTATTGGGTGATTATTTAGTATATCTGTGTCTATGTGGAGGTGGCAAGCCGCGTTCGAATCCGTGTGATATATTCCACGCACTTTAAAATGTGGGCGTTATAAGAGTGACAGTCAATCATTTAGCGTGCATGGTAGGTGATAGGATACTGCTGACTGGCAGCATTCCCTCTGGTCAGTAGTTCAAAACTAGGGTCGACAGCAGTTAGCTTTGACATAAATACAAATACTGTTTGTCCGTCTATATTAACTTCAAAGCTCTGTAATGACATCAAACAAAGATCTCAAGCTCTGTAATGACATCAAACAAAGATCTCAAGCTCTGTAATGACATCAAACAAAGATCTCAAGCTCTGTAATGACATCAAACAAAGATCTCAAGCTCTGTAGTCACATCAAACAAAGATCTCAAGCTCTGTAGTTACATCAAACAAAGCTCTCAAGCTCTGTAATGACAGTTTATTTTCAGGCACATTGTGCTACTATATTAAGAGTAAAAATACAAAACCGACGTTTTCTGGTACAATTAAAGGTAAAATATTTATTATTCGTTACAGCCGAACCTTTCATTGTGTTAAAAAACGTCGGTTTTTGTATTTTTTACTCTTAATTCTGTTACTACACGAGAAGAAAAGCCCAGGTTCTGTGATCGGCTTTATACGGAGAGCTTATGTTCCATAATCGCTTTAGATGGAGATCTCACCTTCTGTAATTGTCTGAGGGGCGAATTCAGGTTCTACAATCGCTTCAGACATAGACTTGAAGCTCTGTGATTGCAATGGACAAAGCGCTTAAGTTCTGTTATATGTTATCTGATTGAAATATTGTTCGGTTGTAATGTTTTTGCAGTTTTATTGTAATACTCGTAAATTTAGCAGATAAATATGGCTGTGATAAAAAAAAAAGTTAATATTCATAGATAAAGAGAAAGCGTGATCTTAACGTATATAATTTTTCTCATGGCATACGTTAGATGTGTCATAGTTTAATATTTTTATAAAAGTATGACTTTTCGGGGTCAAGTGAACCGAAGCGATACTTATGTGTGTGTGTGTGATTTTTGTTTAATACCAGTATAACAACCAAGAGCCTAAAACAAACTGAACGTTACGAATATTGGTTTATGTAGTGACCCACAATGGTTTAACAGTAAGTTTGAAGGCTTATAACGCAAAAAAGTGGGTTTCGATGCCTGTAGTGGGCACAGCACAGATAGACCATTGTGTAGCTTTGTTCTTAACAACAAACAAACAAAAAGTTATGTAGTGAGAAGAAAACAATGTTGTTGTTTTTTTTAAAATTCATTATATTAACTATCACTGGAATAAAATGTGAAATTGTGAATTTCCTATTGGGAATATCGAGAATAATCAAAGCCAAATTGAGCTGGGTTAACATTTCTTGTTCCAAACGTCCCTGATGAACCACATGAGCAGCAGATGCTAAGTTTCAGTAGGATGGTCTTGAAAAACTATTAATGTAACAATAACAAATTTTGAAATAAGTTCATTCGTAACTATCTATGAAATTTATACTTGTTCATGGTGACAGGCTGGCGCTAAAGCTCATAACCTGAATTTTCACTTCCTGTTCATTAACTTTCACAGATTGCAAATAGCTGATTACAAAGCTTCTGCGATTCCCTTTATTTGTATATAGAAATAAAGTATTCAAATTATAAGTAGCCAGAAGTTAAAAGTAAAGAGTTGTAGTATTTATTTCCAGATTAACATTTTCATTTGTTTTGTACCAAAATAAAGTACATTGAAAATAAACATAACAATAACATAAGCAATCTTACATGGTGGTCTTAGAACTAACAAAAACCGAGAAAAAGATAGGCCTTGTGTGCCATACTTTCCAACTCCTGTGCCAGCTCTTGCAGGCTCTCCCCTTTAGCATGGACTCTACTCCTAAACCTAGCCTTGTAGACTTTGGACTGATTTTGAGTTCCTTACCTGAGTTCCAGAGCTCTATAGTTGTGCCTGTCGTCTGCTGACAACTGTCCAAGTATTTCCAGTGGTTGTC